AAAGAAGGCTGACAAAGTTCACGAAAGTGACACTGTTGCATTTGAGAAGATCATTGCTGACTTAGAATAAGAAATCGCTTATCATTAAACTTAAATTGTTGCCCTCTCTAACTTGAGAGACTCAACAACAGAGGCCTTGGGTGAAGCTGAAGTTGAAGTCAGAGTTGTCACATCCGATATCGCCAATAACGAAAAAAGCTTCGCTGACGAATCAGCCACCAGATAATCACAACACGACACATGGGTTAGAAAAGATGCAGAACATGTTGATTAAATTGATGCCATTGATGAAGCCTCAAAGATTGTTCAACATTTATAAGCTGGTGTTGCTTTTGCCTAACTCAAGAGCAGATTTGAAAAAGTCTAAGCTAAATTGATGGAAAGCAAACATGCTCTCTTCAAAGTATATTTCATTTGCTATTATTTAACAGCCACTCATCAATGCCTTGACCTAATTGGCTTCCAAGGTTGACAACAAGAGCATCATCAAAATCTTAGAACTCTTGGCCTAAATCAGATAATAATTGGTTGCCAGCAGAGCTTCACTCCTCGCCACCGAAGAAAGATAAGCTGCTAACTGGGAAGTCTAAAGTGGTCACTTATAAGAAGAACACAAGAGATTAGTTGAAAGAAAGGCTTTCTTAGAAAACTCAATTGTCCAATTCAAGGTCACCATCTAAGAGGCTGTTGAAGACTTAGAAGATTAAACTGTAAAATAGTCCCACTATGTTAGTTATTCCTTGAAGATGCTGAAGATTCATTGGCTATTCAAGAAAGATGGGCTGCTGAATAAGAATCCCAATATGAAGCCTAAACCTTCGAAAGAGAATAATAATTGGAAGTCGTCGAAAGATTATAAGAAGTCTTAACCTAAAAATTAAGTGCAGCTTCAGAATTCCTCTAAGTTAGAGAAGAAGTATTTTGATTTATCATAATAATAACAATCAAGATTTAAAATGTTATTTCCTAAAATTCTATCATTACTAATACTATCAAAATATTTGATGTATATAAATTTCATTATTATTCGATGCGAAGGCAATCTCAGGAGTTTATGAAAAACAAATCGCCTCTATGAAATCGTCCTACTTATATTCATTATAACATTTCCATTGATTTTATGGGTTCTTCTTCCACAATTAAAGAATATTAGTTTCTCCTCCAATTGCTAGAACTGATGAATCGTGATTAAAGTCAATCGTTCTAATTTTAGCAATATTATTAAAGATCTTTTGATTTTCTATATATTCTTTTTGTTTCTAATTTTTATTAAAACAATGAACCAAACCATCCTTTGTACAAATAATTAGATCTTCATTATTTACACTGAATAAAATTTTCTTAGGAGTGTTATACAATTTCAGTTTTTGAATCTAAGTTAATTTTGTATCCTCGATATTCCAGAGAATTACTTTTTAATCGCATCCTCCAACAGCCAATGTTTTATCGTCATTTGATAAACTGATAGTGGTGATCAATTCACTTGATTTTTCTTAACAATACTTTAATTCTAAATGAAAATGATTTATTTTTATAACACCGATACGAATTCCCTCAGCAAAAAATATTTCAGATTCCGAAGAATTCATAGCAACACATGAAATTCTTTAAGATCCATATCCTGAATAAATTTAAGACTAAAATGATTGCTTAATAATCCAAGAATGCTCCTTCAAAATCCATATCTTTAATAGAGCCCTATTAGGATTTAACAAATCAGATCCACTAGTTATCATAAAGTTTTATAATTCGCTAAATGTAAAATACACTAAAGATTTTGTATAACATTCTAAGTTATGAAATTTGACCCATTGATTCGACTAATTATCTTTTTTCCAAAACAATATGTTTTTGCATGGTTCACATAATCTTGCTGCTAGAATAGTTTAATCATAATTTAATTTAATATCAGCTATTGATAATTTTGAGTTGGATCTTAGTATTTGTCCCTCTTAATTACAAATTAATATCTGATCACTTTCGGTGGGTTTAACTTATTCAATTTGTTCATTTTTTAAATTATTCTACAGCATTTGAGTATGGCACATATTATTTTATATTACAAAACTACTTATCATCTAATTTAATTATTATACTAAGTCTAAATATTAATTTGTCTCAGCCTATTTTTAATCATTTAAACCTTTTGTTTTCAAAACCAAACTATTCTTTTATTGTTCAAATTCAACCTCTTCTGAAATACATTAAGTTAGAAACTCAAATTCTTAGAGGCCAAATCCTATCTAATTATTAAATGAATAAATAATTTCGTTGTAAGATTTTAAATGGGTTCTAAATTTGTTATCTTCTAGCGGCCTAGATATTATGCTCTTAATTTTTTCATTCATCTAATTAAGTGTTTTTTCAATATTTTAAAAAATTTTCAAATAATCGTTCATTCTCTTATCATTATCATCATCCTAATTATTCAGTTATTCACAAATAGTATTGAACTAATGAATCGTAACGCATCGTTTATTTAATTTGCATGATTTACATTTCAATCTTGACATATCCTCACAAACTCTTGAAAGGTCTAGATGGCTTAGAGGTTCGTTATGCTGATAGCATTTAATATTACGACCACTAAGATGGTTAGCTAAATTGATTCTTTTTTATTGCATGATGTTTAATAATTCTGAAAATATTATAACAAAATTGTTATTAAAGAATAAAATAGTTGATAGTTTATAAAATTAAATGAATATAGTTGTTAATTAAATTTAGATTTCTATTTTGTGAAAGATTTCGATTTATTTAATTTTATATCCATAAATTACCTTACATCCTTAAATCTTTAATTGATAGTTAAGGACTATACTTAGAATTTATCAAAGAATTTATTGAAATAATAACATCAAAACTATTAATTTCGATTAGATAATATTAGAATTTATTTAACAGATTCTAATTTAAAAATAGGTTCGACATTTCTTAGCATTTATAGAAATAAAAAAAGAATTCTTCTATTTGCTTAAGCTTTTTGTGTTAATTTTATTATAAGTTGGTATAATTATTTTAGTAAATAATAAATATATTACCAGAATTAATTACATATTAATAGCTTATGTATTAAATTTTCAGAGCAATGAAAATGATGAAACAGGTCATAAGGCCAATTAGAATTTGCGCTCCAATAATAGCAACAAATAATTATTTGAATATTTACAATTTGAATTAATTCTTTTTGAGGATGTCATTATCAAATAGTGATGACGACTTGGAAACCCTTAAAGTAATAGTAGAACACAATATTCGTAGGTTAATTAAGAATTAGATGTCAGGTGCCCTCAGATGATTGTTTGAATTATTCATCATTCCAGATTAATAACTATTTTATCAACATTTGAATTTTAACTGTTCTTTCGAAAACGAATATAGACATTAGCAAATAGATTGGAGATATGAGGCAAAATAATTACCATTTCATAAGCAATGCTTCCTGTCTTATATTTCTATATTAATTTTGCTCAAATCTAAATTCGATTTTACATTGATATTTTCGATTAATTCTGTTTGCAAATCTCACACAATATCTAATGAATTATACAAAATAAGATATATCACTATTTTAGCTTTAAATCGACCTAATCGTATATTTTATCTTTCATTAGTTTAAATACCTTAATATATATTAACCTGATGTTATTGCTAATTTTTTACGTTTTATCTTTAGCTATGGGGTTGTCTCCATTAGTGTGTGGAGATGTTACAGAGGAAAAGGATTGTTTAGATATCATAAATGGAATGTATTTTAATACTAATATTTAGTTATCTATGCAAATGGACAACGAATGGATGTGTTAATATGAAATGTGAATTAGTAAAACCTCCTTGTGATTAGTTGATTTATGAAAATAAGGCTTGCTCAACAAGTGGGACCAATTGCGTTTCAGTTTCAGAATGCTCAGAGATAGACAACTAAAGCTCGTGTGGAGTAGTTAAAGCAGGTGGAAGGGATTGCATCTGGGATACTTTATGTAGAATGAAATAATGTTCTGATTATGATCAAGCAAACTGCAAAGTGTCTAACGATGACAATTGTGTCTTCAAAGATGGAACATGTCAAAAGTTAGTATTTTGCACTGATATCGTTACTAAGGATTTATGTTAGACAATTGATTTGGCTGATTAATGTGCATGGATAAATGATAAATGCGACATTTTTGATTGCAAAAAATTTACTAATTCGGAAGAATGTTTTTCAGCTGTCTCTAAGACTGACTCATGCTTTAATGGGGCAGTTGATAATACTGTTAACTGTATGAGTTGTTTCTCGTTGAAAAATCAATGTGATTGCTAACAATACGGGCTTTATGGTTGTAAATGGGATACCTAAACAGGAGGATGTATTCGTTAAAAGTAATTAAATAAACGAAAAATAGATGTGAAGACTTTGAGGATACAATTACTTGTCAATAGGCTTTCGATGGTTTGACTTGCGTATGGTATAAGCCCATGGATTAATGTAAATCAATAGCGAATGCGAATGAATTAGATAGATAATGCGATCTTTATGTCTTCAGTCAGACTTTGACATTTGGATTGCTTGTTTCGTTGATCATCTATATATGAAAACAATAATTTTATCAAATCATAAGAGTAATGGTGATCTTTTGTTGTATAATCTCTTGATATACCAAATCTGCCATATTGTAACTAAAACAATAAAAATAGTTTCGATGACTGTGAACACGTAGATTTTCTTATTGGCTTCTTTAACCTGTAGAGTTGATGACTCATATCTGATTTATTAAAATTTATGATCGTAATATAATTCCTAAAGTCCATTATGTATATAATCTATGTCTAGTTCTAAAGGGTCGATATCCGTTGATTTGATTTTGTCCTCTTTGTCTTTAATCACATCTACTGCATAAGTAAGCAATTAATTGGCCTTTTTTTTATTGTTAAATATTATTTAATACAAACCAATTTCATTTGCTTAAACAGTGAAATTCCCTTTATTTGTCGCCATTTTTGAATAGATGGTTCTTCCATTGGGAGTTTTCACTTAGAAGTCAATCACATCTTTGTGATGATTCACTTAATATGCTCCTTTAATTAAGGTTGGCTCAGTTATATTCTCTAATAATACATCCTCCTAATTGGCTGTTAAAGTGAATGTAATAATGTCATCAGGAATGAAATCATAAAATGAGTATACACTTACCAAAAACGTGGCATAAATAAATAAGTATTTCATTATAAAATTAAATTAATTAAATTTGGCATATAATTTCATTCCATTTGTTCAACATCTTAACTGTTGTCTTGTATTCTGAATCCAATCTGTTTTCTTTGATTTTATTTCATTTTGTATCTTCTAACCAGAAACATTGCCAAGGTCATCAATAAAATAATGGTAAATATTCCAAGGTATATGAAATATGCATTATTTTAAAAAGAGAATTAGGGTTATTCATCATTTAAAGACTCTTACTGTCTTTTATTTCGAATCATTTCTTTTTGGATGATTAATTTTATTAAACCTCTTTCCTCTTCACTCAAATCATTTACACCATTCTTAATTAAATAATCATTGACTTCTTTCTAGATTTCCTCTTCTGTTTTACCCTACTCCAATAATTCCCTAATCAATAATCTAAGCTTTTATCTAACCTGTTTCACTTACTCACTTTGACTACTTTCTTCTTCCTATGTCTTCACATCATGAATAATTTCTTCGATACTAGTGTTATTTTGATCTAATGATGTTGAATTACTAAAGTAGGATTGAATAAAATCTGTAATCTGTTCTTTAATTTTCTCTTCAGATAAACCCTAATCTAAAAATTCCTATATTTAGTATTCTATTTCTCTCATTTCCTATTATTATTAGTTCTTAAGATTCTTATATTATTATATATTCCATGTTGCCTTTGAATTCTTATCAGGTTTATTTTAGTAAGCCTCGATTTCTTTTTTAATTATCAATAAAACAACTTTACTATTAAATTCTTTAGAATGATCTTTGAGAGTTTTATCTAAACTTTGTGAAATCTTTGTCATTACTATGTTCTTATCGTTCTCATCAAGTTAACTAAAATATTAAATATCTTTTTCCAATCTTTAGTTCTCTTCATTACTTTCTTTCTCAAGTTCACCAACCATTTCTAACAAAGAGAATAATATCTTCTATTTTTCTTCTTGAGTAGCCTTAGCATAATACAATAATCCTTCATTGAATATATAGCCTTCAATTAATTCTAAATCCTACACTTGTTACTAAGTTAAATTTCCTGATATTTGTTGGAATATTTAATCAAGTGCTTTATTTGATTGATCCCACTTCTCTCCCCTTTTTGGAGGTGCTCCTCTTCCTTACAGATTTCTTCCAGATATTTAAAAAATAAGAATAACAAGAATTAACATATTAATTATTAGTAATTTCTGTTATTGTCCTTATAACTATATATAATCTCAAAATCAACAAATGTTTAATCTCTACTCAACAATCCACAACCAATAGCCCTTCTCAAATTCAAATGAATAAAATTTCTAATATGCTAGAAGCTTCTACCACTCTAATATGCAAAACTAATATTAATTTGATTTTATAACAATTTATATATTACAATAAAGTGGGTATGAAATATTAATTATATATTTAATTTTTATCGTTAAACAGTTTTACTATGACTAGCGAACTTAGCGAGGATAGTAGTTTTTATGATATCAAATTTCCAAGATCTCTTACTACGTCTGTAAGAAAATAAGGTTAGGAAGACTATTTTTTCGAATTGAAGGAGAAACAAAAGCAAATAGAGGATTTAACTTATTAGGTTAAATTGATGGCAGCCAATAATCAAACTCTGAATCTCTAGAATTAGATGCAGAAAAGTGAAATCGAAAGATTACTAAGATTTATCAATGAGTAATAAAATGAAATGAAAAAAATGGCTTAAAGAGATAATAAAAAACAAATCAATACTAGATCAATTAAAATGCAACTAATTAATAAAATGTGTCAATGGGCTCAACAATTTCCATTGGATTAATAGATTTAATTTGAATAAATAGTTTAAATGATTATATGAAATATTTCTAATTCAAAATTTTGTCGCTAAAAATTATTTCAATAGAAATTGAACTTCTATCATCATTTCAGTAAAAGGTTTCTCCTATTTTACTGATTTAGCTACTTGCCTCTCTAGACTGTCAAATCCCTGAGACTGAAACTAATGATAGCCATAGAATTATCTGTTGCTCTATTCTTCATCCGTAGACAACACATTAATTAAATCGAACATCGAATCCTTGATCTTAATACATTATTATTGAATGAATTACTGGTTTTTTGTATCTATTTTTAATTCGATCCTTCATCCACGCTGAATTTGAAATGGATCTCTCATCATTTAAGGCGTACTTAATATTTGGAGGACAAAATAACTAAAATATTACAGAAAAATACCTGAGTCTTAATGTCGAAATACCTCGACACAAATATCATCTCGATATCGCAAAGTGTTTAGGTACCAATGATAATGCGATTGCCTTTGTTCTCATTTTAAAAACCTGATATTTGTTGTTCATTAAAAACAGATGCTAATGCACCAGCCATTGATGGTACATAGGTAGATTTCTATTCATTCAAATAAAATTGATTGGAATTATTGAATTGAAAGCTAGGTACAGAGAGGCCTTAGAGGAATCCTGGAATTTGCATATTATCTTTAAAAATTGAGTCATCTTTATAGAAAATCACATTATACTTGAGTTTCTGATTTATAATTAAGGAATTTGAGAGTTATTGTAATCCATCATGGAAGTAGGTGGAAAGTTATATACAAAATATGGATATTGGGGTGGTTAGTTTTGTTGGTCTTTTGATTGCGTCTAAATATCAGTTTAATCATTAAGCATCCCCCCCACATATATATAATTATCATATGTACCTCTACAATACAGAATATTTGAGTAGATATGAAAATGTTCTATATCCATCTGTTATTGCAACATTTTAATACACTTGGTTGTACTCAATAATTTTTCTATTTACATTTTATTTTTGATTGTTTAAACCAATATATTTCTGCTCAGGAATGCAAGTAAGGGAGTAAATTGAGTTGATGAATTAAATTAAATGGCTCCCAATAAAAATGAATAAAATTGAAAAATCTGAATTGTCTCTTAAAATTTTAATCAATTTTGCAGGAAATAAAAGCCTACTATATTTTGACTAAATGATTTAAGTTTATATGTTTTTGATATATAATATTTTGATATACAATATTGTTGATTCAATCAGCTTTCTAATTTGAAATTATGCCCTGTCCTAGATACTCGCATATAACATCAAATTTATCTGCTGCTGCATAAAGTTTTTCTTTAAATGGTTTGGTTTCCTTTGATGCTTCAATGAATTCCTATTTTCTTTTGAAAAACATCTAAGTATCCTAAGGACATAGGAGACATGCTCTTTCACTAATAATATATTTAAATATTTGTGTACGTATGAATGCAATGTTCATGATAGGAATGACCACAAAGGAAATGATAAGAAGGTAAACTCAAAATGGCATCACAGCAATTACATTTTGTGGATTGGAACACTTTGGCTTGAGTCTTTAATTTCTTGTATTCAGCTCTCAATTCTGTTGCTTTCTTCATTTTTTCCTTAACAACTTTTTAACAGTCATCAATTTGTTTCTTATCCTTTGATATTTTATTAGTGAAATAGTTCTTGACTAATTTAAAATTAACATTTCTATTTTTTGACAATATATTAAGTATAAGCAATGGTGAAAGATTTTCTAAACTGCTTACTAACACTAACACCTTTTCGATGTAATTCTCTGCACCATTTTCTGGCTTTGCAAAATATTTCAATGCTTGTATCCAAAGATTTGTTTCTTCCCTACCATATTCACTGCACAAATTGATGATCTAATCATTCTACTTCAAACTGATGTAGAAATTCAATAACTCTTCTCTCATTTATAATTTTTTCAATAAGAAAATGATACCTGGTACAAAATTGTACATTTTGAACAAAACTAACAGATGATTCTTATCGTATTTCTTTTCATTTTCCTAATTCTCCAACAATTTCATAATACCTTGTTCTTTGCTCTATAATTAGGTGTCTCTAATTCCAATCTTACTCTCATCTTTATAAAATAATTGATATTTCTCTAAATGATATTCAAAGTATCTGTGGAATATAGCTTTTTCATTCGGTAATGTTTTGCAATTTTCAATTAAGAATTTCAAATAACTTTCCAAATACTCATCATTAACCACAAATAAGTGCAAGAATTCATCTGGTTTACCAAATGTGATTGAGAATACCTTTTTGATCTCCTCATCTGATAAATTGAAATATCTCCACACCTTCAACTCTTCAGGTGTCAATATACTAATTGATTCAATTCCTTTTTGTGAGTCTATTCTTTTCTTCAAATTCTGCACCATACTAATAAGCAAAACTAAATTTTGGATAATTTCAAGACATAATTCTGGCTCTGCCTTCATTAACTATTGTCCAAACTCCTTCAAATATTAAGCCTAATCTATTCGTAAACATTATTACCTTCTCATCCAATTAGATCTCTTCTCTTATATACATCAAAGCACTCTTACAATCCTACCTATTCTATTCCTTATTATTCTAATCTTTGTTTGTCTCAATCAGAATACTGAGGTAAGCTTCATTTTTCTATCGAGATTTAGCTAATCTCAAGGCCAAATCTATGTGTCCTAATTATCTGCATTCTTTGATAGCAGTATCAATATCAAAGAGATCTGAATCGAAACTTGATTCCTTCAAAAATTCTTCAAGTTTAGTAATCTATTTCTACTTTACATAACAATTCAACAACAAGGCTGTATGATTCTTATCTGCTTACTTTTCATGATGCAATGCTGCTAAATATTAAATCAAAAAGTCAACATGTGAAACATCTAAAAACTTCCCAATTACATAAGAGGGTTCTAAAATACCTGCTGTATTAATATATTATTTGATTGCACCTTAGAAATCGTGTTAATCATATAAATGATCACCATGCAATCTACTGATTTCAGCTAATAGAGTTTTATCAGATGATTAATTGCTAGCAAACCTATACATAACATCAAAATAATTATTTTTAAAAAAGATCTCAATTTTGTGAGTATTTTCTTTCTCTGTTAACCTTATTAAGTTTTTCTCACCTCTATTATTTTGAGTAATAACATAGAGATAATCACCGACTGGAATAAACCTTTGAATCTTTTCGAATTTCTTATAATATGCAATATAATTGTTTAGAAGATCAAAGATAGTTAATTACACGGATTAATCAACTTATTCTTTATCCTATCTTGGTGATATCAACATAATCAAGTAGTTTTATTTGAAAAATCTAACTTCTATTTTATCACCATCGACATTCCAAGTAGCTTCTTTCTTAGTATCACTATATTCCACTATTGTAGAAGTGTCATCCTTAGGACATCCGATCAGAGTGCCTTTGGCTGTCAAATCGAATTATGCTCCTGCTGGAATTGAAAATTTCTTTCTATTTTGCATATTCTAAAAACAGATGATGTTAGAGTCGGTTGTACAAAATAAATTCAAATTTTGATCCTGTCTACTTAGATGAACAGATTTGATTGGTTCTTAATCAGTTTAAATGACTTGATCTTTAAAATCCATTGTCATTAGGTTTTATGATTTGGCCTTGAAGATCAATATTTAACCATCTTGCAAACCAAAGGCCATAGCACTTAAGTCTTTAGCGATGCAAAAGCAATTAAAATTTTGTAAGGGTTAACCAACTTTATTGACCAAGATAACTTTGATAGGTTCTATGATGTTATTGAAATTAATTTACTCATATTTTGATAGTCAGTTGTATTGGGATCCCAAAATTTCACAAAGCTACTCTTTTAGTTGTTTTCGCTATCGATACCAAATGTTACAAGCTTTCCCTATTAAATAAAATCAATTATGAATTATTACCTCTCTGCTTTCCCTAGTGCATTTCATAACTCTGAATGACTCATTATGAGGTTAAAAGCATCCTTGAATGGAATTGGCTTCGTAAACATAAATTAGATTCTTGGACTAAGATGAGAGGAACAATTTGGTTCCAATTCCACATCCATCTGATATTCCAATATCATTCAAGGTTGGGGCAGTTGGATCACCACTAAAATTAATAGATAAGTATTTGAGTACTTAGCTCTCTAATCTTGAATGTTTTCTTAATTAAAAAATTAAAATTTCTTGACCTATTCAACTTCTGCCTATCTCATACTTATATATTTAATATTTATTATTTAGTATTTTTTATTTAAGAGTTAAAGCCTTCTATAATTAAGAATGAGAAATAAAAAAATGAAGATTCTTGTAAATTAAAGTAAAATATTAATATGATGGCCAAATCATTACTTGAAAAAGTATAGAATTTTAGATTTGATTGAAAATTTTTATGCCTTTTATCTCCTTTGATATATTTAGATTTATAAAACTATTGATAATTTGTACCTGAGTATCTCAAATAATCAAAGAAGATTTGAGGATGAGATCAAGAATGAATTTCAATTGGATTATCAAAATAAAACCATTTTTTTCCTTCTTCAATTATTTGAGAATGTATTAGTTAAAGAAAATTTAATCCTCCAATCATAAATAGAATGATAGAACTAATGTTGTAATTGAATTATATATGTCCAAATAGTAAAAGATTTATTTTTGTTTATAAGAAATTTATTCATATTAACTTAAACATTGAAAACTATTAATTAGATAATAACATTCAAATCAATTTTCATCAAGTTGAATTAACTCTTCTGCTAGATCTCTAAAGTTTTTAATCATTTTTAGAAGTCTGAAAATTATTATTAATATATACCAATGATTAGTTTGATTTCCTCCAATATTCTCCTACATTCAGAATATTAACATAGATTTCCTATAGATAATAAGGAGACTCTCATTGTTTGATCAAGCTTTACTAATTTTAATTCCATGCCTAATACACTAAATTTCCGAGTCCCAGCTGCATTTAAGTTTTCTCCTAGTTATATTTATCATACACCTCTTAATCTTTGAGTCACTCAACTAATTGAAAGATGAAAGGCTTAAATCCTAATTAAATCTATCAATATGAAATCCTGGATTTATAGCTGCAAAACAAAAAATTTTCTGGTGTTTAGTCAGGGTCAGAACAACATTTAATACAAAGATTGATCAAATTTGTATTTCAATAAAGATCATTAAATAAGAGGAATTTGATCTTTTCCAATCAATTTGCAGACTTTAGCTCTTAAGGTACAATCAGATTGCCGATAAAGATACAATAGGATTGTTTTAAACATTGTTATCAAAATACTTATTACTTATAACAAATTGATTTCATATTAATAGCTTTTATTTTTAAATTATTGAACTAGAATTAACATAGTAGTGAATTAGAATTAAGGCTTTTGTGATATGAGAGATTGATTTAGAATTTCTTAAGACGTTTGAAAATCCTTCTTAATTCTAATAAATTAGAGTAAAATTCCTAAACTTGAAATTTTGATTAAATTTTATTATTCAACCTAATAATTATAAATCTTTAAATGATAATTTATCCAAAAATTGAGGCTCACATCTTAATTAAGTAGCACCTTGATCATCATTGGTATTTTATTCACAACTAACCCAAAACTCATCATAAAAGGGCATATTTTTTGGAGATACATAAGGATTATCTTTAAAATAATCTTACTCTCAAGAGTCGGAGTCAAAGATCTTTTTCTTTATCAATAACTTCCTCTTCAACACCAGACCATTAAGGAGGGTTTTCCAACAAATATTTAATAAAGTATGACTCCCAAACTTCATATCGACTGTGTGATCATAAGATTATTCTTAGATTAATTTTGGTGTCGTGTAAAGTGAAGTTGCTTTAATTGAATGAATAGCTCGAGTGTTTTTGCAATTACCCTGGCAAATCCTAATTAAATTACTTCATCAGCAGAAATTAAAATGTTGTATGGTTTCATTTCTCTATGGAGTATTCTATTTGGTTGGAGATAATGTAATGTCTTGACTAATTATTATGCTATGTGTCTAGCTTTAATTTATTATAAGTTGCATCGTTCCAAATTTCAAAAATTTCACCTTGTCCAAATTAAACATTATTCTCACAAAAAAAGGATTACTTCTGTGAATAAACAAAAATTCACTTGAATCTTGAATACATCTAATAATAATATGATATTTTCATGTATCAATCTTCTCAATACTTATCTCAAATTTCTAAATCTTTCTCTGACTTCCTTTTCTTGCTTATAAATTTGAGAGCTGCAATCGAATTGCTTCTTGAGAGTCTTCCCTTATAATCCTTGCCCGAAATTGCCTTTGCCTATTAACCGCGAGATGAGATAATTTTCCATTTAATTTTAACTTTATTATTGGAATAAAATGGGATGAATGTTATCATTATATATAATTTCTTAATTTTGTATACATGGTTTTACATTGATGAAACTACTGTTATTCTAATGGACTGAAGTAATTGACTGATTGGATGGTAAATTGCAACGGGCAAGGATATAATTCTTTGGGTATAATTAAATCAAATGAGTTGGGTGAGTAATATAACTACGAAAAATAAAATTTGATAATAAAATTAGTCAAAACATTTTTAGGGATAAATAATATTAATAGAGTAAGAATTGATTATTTTAGATTATTATTAATTAAATAGCAAAAACCCATCACAAATTAGTAAATTTAATTGATGGTCGATGTTTGTCTTTGTTTATATTTTAATTTAAGTTGAAGTAGCGTTGTCTTAATCACGTACCACGATGAGTAGAGCAAAATTAGGACGAGGGCCTGTCGGTTTATAACAATAATTAAATTCTGAACTTAATTCATAAAAAAACGGATAATTATCCCTATTCTTATATTTTATGTTTGCATTGAGAAATTCATTTATTATTTTACATTATTTATGAAGAAATCTTCATTAATATTGCTATTGTTTTTGATATGTTCGCTACAAGGTAAAAGTGGTTAAAATGGAATTTTAGCGTAACAGTTTCTTGAACTATAAAGCGGAGTTAAATTACAATCGCTTGAAGAATTGAATAATTTGGATACAAGCAGTCTAGATTGTTCTCCAGGCCTGTCATAAGTGAGCAAATCTATGGAAGCTTGGCAGGAGATACTTTCTAACCCTGACTAGATAGATAATGATATTGATAATTTGAGAAAACTGAAAGTTGCAGTGTCTGATTACAGAAAATCAGAAGGAGAGAAGACAAGTACACATAATCACAATATTTTAGCATTATTGCAATATCACAGCACAAAGGGTTCGTTTGCATTTGTTTAATTAAGACAAAGCGAAAGAGATGGCTTGTTACAATAATGGAGACAATATGGTCAAAATATATTGGATGGTTAATTGAATCTATTGGATGCTGCCTCAACAAAAGAAGATGCAGATGAATGTTGCGATAAAATTGAGGACTTAATCAATAAGCTCTTAAGCGAAAGAGAATAAATAAAAGAGCAATGCAAACAACCATCAGTAATTTATTTAAGTAATCCATCTAGATAACAATCAACATCATCAATTCCAAATCAACTGATGTTCAAAAGAGAGTTGAGTCTTGTTCCAAGGATGGAATCATCATAAACACAGACGATGACAAGAAAATCATCATCAGACCTGGAGATGGAAGTGCACCAGAATCTGAAGAAGAGCCCGTTAGTGCCTCAGCATTGGTGAGTTCATCCGACTCCGAAGATGATGAGGACACCGTTAATAAGAAACAACCCTCAGATTACACTAACGATAAACCTATCAGAACTGCTGAAGTTGACAACGAGGAAGAAGAAGGAACAGAAGATTTGGTTGAATATGGTTATGGATATTGGGCTAGATTTATGTTGGCCTATCCAAAGTTCATGCCTAAAGGTAAGGATGCACCTTGGTACTTTGTGTCAAGATTGTCCTCTAACAAAAATACAGATAATATCAACATGGGAGACAGACTCTTGGCTATTTGGTTAGGCAAAGGATACTATCATTTCACCACATGTGACAAACCTTAAAATCAACCCAATATTGCTAAGAATGTGGATTATCCTGAAAATTTGGATGGCGTTTGGACTTACATCTACTATTCATACAGTTCAGAGAAGAAAAAGGCTGTTGCTTACATTAAATTTGGAGAAAACGACTTTAAGAAGGTAGAGCATGAGGTTACACATCCAACAACAAAGTTCGTTAGATTCACTGTTGGTGGCACAGATGAAAAGAGATACCCAGGATTCAATGGTTTATTGAGTGCCATCTACTTCAGTGCTAAGAGAGGAGTCTTCATTGATAATGATGAAGACATTCAAGCAAAATTACAGTCCATGAAGAAAATTCCTAAGGACTTTATTCCTGACATCGTCACTTACAAAGTCACAACCAATCCCATCACAAGAAAACCAGAAGACAGAGAAGTACATTAAATAGTTGGTACCACTTCAACTCCTAAATTCCCTCATGAATATGGCATTAGTGGATGGTTCAAATGGACACCAACTGATAAACAATAAGATTGGCACAACATCTTCAGAGTTTAGATTCAAACTCCATCAACTGACAAATTCCTAGGAGACAGAACCTTATCAGCTTGGGTTGGAAAATAAGATGGAGGCATCATTCATTTACCTACCTACACTCTTACTGACCTTGAAGGTAATGGGAATGCAAATCTCTTCAAGAATGTTCCTCACAAAAATAGACATAATCAATGGTTCTTTGTTTACTTTGGATATTCTAGACCATAATAGAAGGCTAAGGCTTACATCAGATGGACAGATTCAGAAGATCATTAAGAATATGAAAATGTTAGACATTTCACTGTTCCCAAATATTACATCTTTGTTGGAAAAGATAAGCACTTCCCAGGATTCAGCGGAGACGTTGCTTTGGTGGCATTCAATATTGGAGAAGGTGCATTTAGACCAGGAAATGATTTCAAAGCCAAGAACGATGCTTTCAATGCAGTGGTTGGATAAAAACAATTGTTAGGAAAATAACCAGATGGCAAAGTTAAAGAGAAGGAGGATGAAGATGATGACGATGGTATTACTACTCCAAGTTCTACTGATGACAATAAGCCTAAAATTGATGAGACCAAAGAATCTGAAGAAGAGTTAGTTGAATATGGTTATGGATTTTGGGCTAGATTCTTAAGTGCCTATCCAGTTAGATTACTTAACGGAAAGAATGCTCCATGGTATTTCGTATCCAGATTGACATCCAACCAAAACTATGGAAATATTGCCATGGGAGATAGAACTTTAGCTACTTGGTTAGGACAAGGATATTATCACTTTACTACATGTGATAAGAAATCAAACAATCCAAACGTTATTTAAAACATCAATTACCCCAATGACATCGAAGGTGTCTGGACATACATCTACTACTCCTACAGTGCCTAAGAAAATAAGGCTATTGCATTCATTAAATATGGAGATCTAGAACCAAGATCAATCATCCATAATGTCAATCACCCAACTACTAAATATGTTAGATTCATCTTAGGTGGAAAAGACAGCAATAGATATCCAGGATTTAATGGTTTGTTCAGTTAAATTGTTTTCTCTGCAAAAGAAGGAGCCTTCCTTGATACCTTGGATGATTTCAAAGATCACATCTCTAGAACAATTATCCCAGTTCATGATTTGGACAGATTATACAAACATGAATTGGTTGAAGATACTATTTCAAGAAAAGTCAATGAAAACCCAATTTATGATGAATTAGGTGGTGGAGCTTAGAAATTCCCACATGAGTATGCTATCAGTGGTTGGTTCAAATGGGAACAAACTTAATAATAAGTTTGGCACAATGTTTTCAGAGTTCAAATTAATAAAACCATCTACTGATAGATTCTTGGGAGACAGAACTCTTTCCTTTTGGATTGGTACAGCATAAGGAGGTATTTTCCATTTCCCAACCTACACATACACCAACATGAATGGAGCTGGTAATCCCAATATGGTCAGCAATATCGTTCATAAGAATAGACATTTGGAATGGTTCTTTGTTTACTTTGGATACTCTAAAAATGAGAGAAAAGGATTTGTAGGTGTGAAATTCACTGGAGGTATTGAAACTATTGAATACAACAATGTCAATCATTATTACACTCCTTACTTCTACACATTTGTTGGAAAGGATAAGCAATTCCCAGGATTTAATGGTAAAATTGGATATGTCAACTTTGCTTTGGGAAGTGGCACTTTCAGAAAGACCCCAGATTTCAAACACCCTAATGATGTCTTCGGATTCGATAAAGGAGAATCAACTCTCCTAAAGAAACCAGAGTCAAAGAAACCATAACCTATCACAGATGAAACTGGTGAAAAGTAATTACCAAATGCTCACAATGAAAATAGTCCTAAAGTGATCAAAGAATTCAGATCTGATGTTGCCTTCACTGAATATGGTTACGGATTTTGGGCAAGATTCTTAACTGCTTACCCTGTCAAATTACCAAATGGTAAGAATGCCCCATGGTACTTTATGGCTAGATTGACACAACATGAAAATTATGACAATATCAGAATGGGAGACAGAATCTTGGCAATCTGGTAAGGACAAGGATATTATCATTTCACTACCAACAATGTTCAACCAGCCAATCCAAATGTGATCAGAAATATCAACTACCCATCTGATATTGAAGGTCTTTGGACACATTTCTATTTCTCTTACTCAAATACAGGAAAGGCTGTTGCAATTGTCAAATTTGGTGACTTGGATCCAGTGTCAGCCGAATTCCCTGTAAAACACCCTGATTTGAAATATCTTAAATTTATTTTGGGTGGAAAAGATTAAAATAGATACCCAGGTTTCAACGGACAATTCACCTAAGTAGTCTACTCAACTTCAGTGGGTGCATTCATTGATTCTGTTGATAGTCACAAAAAGTTCTTTGCTGATAAGGCATCTCCACTCAAAGGAGGAAAGGTACCACTTTCAACTACAAGAATCATTGATTCCCAAGTTGATAGACAAGCTAACTCAGATCCAACCAAGACAACAGTCGACACCGTGTTCCCTAAAGAATATGCCTTCTCTGGTTGGTTCAAATGGTCATAACCTACTCCATAATAAGCTTGGCACAATCTTTTCAGAGTCTAAATTTCTTAACCATCAACAGACAGAAATTTAGGAGATAGAACTTTGGCTGGTTGGGTAGGAAATGGAGGAATCATTCATTTGACCACATACTCATACAGAAATATGAATGGAGCTGGACCAAATAATTTGCCATAAGATATTCCACACAAGAATAGACACTTCGATTGGTTCTTTGTTTACTTTGGATACAACAAAAACGATAAGCAAGGATATGCTTATATCAAATGGAAGGACTCAGATGACAACTTAGACTTCAAAGACATTAACCATTACTTTGCTAATAGATATTATGTCTTCACTGGTAGAGATGCTTAATTCCCAGGATTTAATGGAAAAGTCGCCTACGTTTCATTCAATGTAGGAGAGGGTGCCTCAAGAAGAGGAAGTGACTTCAGTCATCCAGATGATGCATTCAGATTTGATAAAGCTGGTTAATTGATTCCAAAAGTAGACCCATCCAAACCAAAGGTTGATGAGAATACAGTTCATGTCAACAAGGTTGATAACAATTCACCAAGAGTTGATGATGTTTTGAGATCTAACGATAATTTAGTTGAATATGGTTACGGATTTTGGGCTAGATTCTTAACAGCTTATCCAGTGAGATTGATATACGGAAAGAATCAACCATGGTACTTTGTCTCAAGATTGACCACTAATGAAGATTATGATAATGTGAGAATGGGAGACAGAGCATTGGCTATCTGGTAAGGATAAGGATACTATCATTTCACAACTTGCAATAAACAAAATGGAGCAGTCAATGTTATCCAAAATATCAACTACCCCAATGATATTGAAGGAGTTTGGACATACATTTACTATTCCTACAGTGCTGAAAAGAAGAAGGCTGTTGCATTCATCAAATATGGATCAGAAGACTTTAAATCCATCACTCATTAAGTTGTTCACCCAACCACACAAAGTGTTAGATTTATTTTGGGAGGCATGGATGAGAAGAGATACCCAGCCTTTAATGGTGTTTTCACTAAAGTTGTTTACTCACATCAAGTTTGGAGTTTTTGTTGATTCAGTCGATAAATTATAGGCAGGTGTCATTCCATAAGTTCCAGTTGACTTAAGCAATACCAAGATAATTGAAAACCCAATTGAGAGATCAGTTTAAGTTGCTCCAACTGAAACCACAGTCGGCAAAGATGAAGAATTACCAAAATTACCCTAAGAATATGGCCTAAGCGGATGGTTCAGATGGACAAATACCTAATAATAAGTTTGGCATAACATTTTCAGAGTATCTATCAACACTCCAGCTAGTGACAGATTTTTGGGAGATAGAACACTCTCTCTATGGTTAGGTAATCAATAAGGTGGTATCTTGCATTTCCCTACTTATACTTACGTCAATATGAATGGTGCAGGAAACCCTAATGTTGTTTAAAATATTCAACATAAAAACAGACACAATAATTGGTTCTTTGTTTACTATGGCTATTCAAAGGTTAATAGACAAGCCTATGCTTATGTTAAATGGACAGATAGTGAAGATTCATTGAACTATGACAACATTAACCATTACTTTGCACCAAAATTCTTTATCTCAGTTGGAAAAGATAAGTTCTTCCCAGGATTCAATGGATTTGTTGCATTTGTTAATTTCAATCTTGGAAAAGGAAGCTACAGAAAAGGTAATGATTTCACTCATGATAATGATTTCTTCGGATTTTCAACTGGTAAAGATAAATTGTTCCAACCACCTAAATAAGATGCTCTCCCAGAGGTTGAAAAAACAGTTCTTGCAAGTAAGACATCAGAAGATGCTCCAAAAGTCGATAGAGTTAGTCCTTAAGGCACAGATAATTTATTAGAATATGGTTATGGATTTTGGTTAAGATATTTAACAACTTATCCAGAAAGATAAGTCAATGGTAAGAATCAACCATGGTACTTCGTATCAAGATTGACTTGGAACAAGGAATATGATAATATCAGAATGGGAGACAGAACCTTAGCTGTCTGGTAAGGATAAGGATTCTATCACTTCACAACCTGCAATATCTAGAACAACAATGTCAATGTGATCAAGAATGTAGATTATCCAGATGACATTGAAGGTCTTTGGACTTTTATTTACTATTCCTACAGCAAGAATGAAAACAGAGCCAAAGCCTTTATTAAGTATGGGGATGGCAATTTCTAAGAAGTTGATCACTAAGTCACTCATTAACCAACTTAAATTGTTAGATTCATTTTGGGAGGTACAGATGAAAAGAGATACCCAGCTTTCAATGGTTTATTCACTTAAGTCTATTTCAACGCCAAAGTTGGTGCTTACATTGGCAGTGCAGATGCAGCTAAGAAGTTTGTTAATGAATTGTCACCTATTCCAAGAATCAGAGTCACTAATTTGATTAGTAAACCTATTGTGTCAGATGAAATTGAAAGATAAGTTACAGACAAACCAACTGATGCTATTGTTGAAGAATAAAATCTACCAGATGAATACGGAATATCAGGTTGGTTCAAATGGAACGAAGTAGCCTAATAACCATGGCATAACATTTTCAGAGTTCAAATCAAGACTCCATCAACCGATGCATTCCTTGGAGATAGAACTCTTTCTTTATGGTTAGGAACTCCTGAAGGTGGTATCTTACACATGCCAACCTACTCATACACAAATATGAATGGAGCTGGTAATACCAATTATTGGAAGAACATTTAACATAAAGAAAGACACACTAAATGGTTCTTCGTTTACTTTGGATATTCAAAACCCAAGGCTTAAGCTTATGCCTATGTTAAATGGACTGATTCTGAAGATTCTAACACCTATGATAAAGCTAATCACTATTACTCAGCAGTTTATTACATCTTTGTTGGTAAAGATCCACATTTCCCAGGATTCAATGGTAAATTAAATTAAGTCACCTTTAATATTGGTGATGGATCATTCAGAACTGGAAATGATTTCACCCATCATAAGGATGTCTTTGGTTTCACTACTGGTTTAGATAAATACACAAAGAAAGCAGATGCTCCTTCAGTCAGACCAGGTGAAAAGGTATTAGAAAGTGCTGAAAATTCCAAGCCCCCTGTTTTAGATAAAGATGCTAATTCTGATAAGAATTTAGAAACTTATGGTTACGGGTATTGGTTAAGATATTTGACTGCTCATCCATTTAGACAACTAAGTGGCAAGAATCAACCATGGTACTTTGTATCTAGATTGACATGGAATAAGGAATATGATAATATCAGAATGGGAGACAGAGCTTTGGCTATCTGGTAAGGTTAAGGATACTATCATTTCACTGCATGCAATTCAAAGACTGGTAATGTGAACTAAATTCTCAACATTGATTATCCAGCTGACATCGAAGGATTATGGACATATGTCTATTATTCATTCAGCGTTGAGGAAAACTAAGCTGTTGGTTTTATCTAATTTGGTGAATCTGAACCTAAGCAAATTGTTCACAAAACATCACATGCTGCCACAAAATACGTCAGATTTTTATTGGGTGGTACTGATGAAAATAGATACCCTGCTTTCAATGGTCTATTCGCTGCAGTTTCATTCTAAACCCAAAATGCCTATATTGGAACAGTAGATGGATTCAAGAAATTAATTGCTTCAATCCCTATGCCTTCTCAAGGACTTAGAGATTTAACAACTTACAAATTAAGCGAAGTCATCACAAGAACACCAACTGACGAAATCTCTAAAGAAGCCACTGTTGGAGGCGGCAAGGAACAATTCCCATCTGAATATGCTATTAGTGGATGGTTCTAATGGAAACCAATTGCCCAACAACCATGGCATAACCTCTTCAGAGTTACTCTTAAATAACCATCAACTGATAATTTCTTGGGTGACAGAACATTGACACTATGGGTTGGTACTCCAGAAGGAGGTATCTTACATTTCCCAACATATACATATGCAAATATGGTTGGAGGAGGAAATAACAATTACTGGAAGAATATTGTTCACAAGAATAGAATCAGAGAGTGGTTCTTTGTTTACTTCGGATACTCAAAGTCTAAAGCTCAAGCTAACGTTTATGTCAAATGGACTGATTCTGAAGATTCCTTATCATACGATAAAGCCAATCATTACTATGCACCATAATTATACGTATTTTTGGGAAGAGACAAGCATTTCCCAGGACACAGTGGTAAAATTGCTTACATGAGATTTAATTTGGGTAATGGAGCTCATATTGATAATAACAAGTTTGATCATCCATAGGATGTAATTTGCATTTAAAGAAGGAACAGATAGATTATTCAAAAAAGATGAGTAACTCCTACCAGATGAACCAACCAAGGATGTGTTTGAAAATGGATTTGAATAGAAAAAACCAGTTATTAATAAGGAAAGCCCATCTGAAAATGCCCTTGAAGAATATGGTTATGGTTTCTGGATGAGATTCTTGACTTCATATCCTTAAAGATTACCAAGTGGTAAGAATCAACCATGGTACTTCGTATCTAGATTGACATGGAATAAGGAATACGATAATATTAGAATGGGAGACAGAACCCTCGCTATTTGGTAAGGATAAGGGTACTATCACTTCACAACTTGCAACTCAGTAGACAATAATCCAAACTACATTTAAAACAATAACTACCCAGAAGATATTGAAGGACTTTGGACCTATGTCTATTATTCATACAGTGATAACAAGAATAGAGCAGTTGGTTTTATTAAATATGGAAATCAAGACTTCCAATCAATCAAACATGATACAACTCATGCAACTACAAAATATGTTAGATTCATATTAGGAGGTAATGACGAGGGTAGATATCCTGGATTCAATGGTTTATTCGCATCTGTTACCTTTGGCACAACAAGAGGAACTTTCATTGATAGCGTTGATTAAGTGAAGAACTATTTGGCTAAAGTTGGCACACCTGCTTCTGAATTACCTGATTTATTCAACTACAAGATTGTCGATTCCATTTAGAGCAGAGCAGCTAATGATGAACCAGTATATAAAGTGGTTGGAAAAGATAATGAAAAATTCCCTCATGAATATGCAATTAGTGGATGGTTCAAGTGGTAACCAACAGCCTAATAACCATGGCATAACCTCTTCAGAGTTCAAATCAAGACCCCATCAACTGATGCATTCCTAGGAGATAGAACTTTGACATGTTGGGTTGGTACAGCTGAAGGTGGTATCTTACACATGCCAACATACTCATACACAAATATGAATGGAGCTGGTAACACCAATTATTGGAAGAATATTTAACATAAAGATAGACACACCAAATGGTTCTGGGTCTACTTTGGCTATTCAAAACCCAAGGCTTAAGCTTATGCCTTTGTTAAATGGACCGATTCTGAAGATTCTAATACCTATGATAAAGCCAATCATTACTTTGCACCAGAATTCCACATTTATGCTGGAAGAGATAAGCATTATCCAGGACACAGCGGAGTTCTAGCTCATGTTTAATTCAATCTTGGAAAGGATGCTTTCAGAACAGGATCAGATTTCAATCACCAAAATGATGTCTTTGGATTTGGAAAAGGAAAGGAGCTTGTTAAAGGACCTGCTGAGTTTAAACCAAAGGAAGCTGATAACACTATATTAACAAATGCTGCCAGTTAAGCTAAGCCAGTGATCGACTAAGAAGCCAAATCAGATGCTCCATTTGAACAATATGGATATGGATTCTGGTTGAGATTTTTGACAGCTCACCCTGAAAGATTAATAAATGGCAAGAATCAACCATGGTACTTTGTTTCTAGATTGACATAATTTGAGAAATATGATAACATTAGATTGGGAGACAGAACTCTTGCTATTTGGTAAGGATAAGGATACTATCATTTCACAACATGCAGCATTGCACCATAAAATCCAAATTTAATCTAAAACATTGATTACCCTGCTGACATTGAAGGTTTATGGACATATATTTACTATTCATACAGTGCTGACAGCAATAAAGCAGTTGCATTCATTAAATATGGAGATTAGGAAATTAAATCAATCACTCACAAGACAACTCATGAAGCAGTTAAATATTTGAGATTCATTTTGGGAGGTAATGATGCTAATAGATATCCTGGATTCAATGGACAATTCACTTAAGTCACTTTCTCAACAGATGGAGCCTTTGTTGATGATTCAGCCAAGATCAATGCCTACATTAAAAACAACAAAGCACCTTCAGTCGTTGTTGCATTACAAACCTACAAATTGGTAGAGGATGCTATTACCAGAGATCAAAATGTAGAACCTCTTGAAAAGACTGTTCAAGTTGGATTACCATTAGAATATGCAATCAGTGGTTGGGTGAAATGGAAACCAACAGCCTAAGCACCTTGGCACAATCTCTTCAGAGTTAGCTTGAAAACTCCATCAACTGATGCATTCCTAGGAGATAGAACATTGACATGCTGGATTGGTACTGCAGAAGGTGGTATCTTACATATGCCAACTTACACATACACCAATATGAATGGAGGAGGTAACAACAACTACTGGAAGAACATTCAACACAAAGGAAAAATCAATGAATGGTTCTACATTTACTATGGATATTCCAAGATTTCAAGAAAGGCATATGCCTTTGTTAAATGGACTGAAGGAGAGGACTCTTTGAACTTCGATGACGTCAATCATTATCTTGCATAAACACTATACTTATTTGTTGGAAGAGATAAGCATTACCCAGGACACAGTGGTAAAATTGGTTACTTCAACTTCAATGCAGGTGAAGGATCATTTGTAACAGGAAATAAGTTTGATCATCCAAAGGATATCTTCGGATTTTCAATTGGATCAGACAAATTGTTAACTCAAAAAGATACTGAATTAAAACCAGGAGTTCCAGTTACTGAACAATTGCCCAATGGATCAGAAGACAAGAAGCCAGTCATTGAGAAGGACTTGAATGCAGATCAAAATCTAGAAGAATATGGTTATGGATTCTGGATGAGGTTCTTAACAGCCTACCCTGCAAGATTGATATCAGGAAAGAATCAACCATGGTACTTTGTTTCAAGATTGACTCAACATGATCAATATGACAATATCAGAATGGGAGATAGAACATTGGCTATATGGTAAGGACAAGGATTCTACCACTTCACAACTTGCAATTCAGTCAACAACAATCCAAATGTCATCCAAAACGTTGATTATCCAGCTGATATTGAAGGATTATGGACATATGTCTATTACTCATACAGTGATGATAAAGCAAGAGCAGTAGGACTCATCAAATATGGAAATGATGATATCAAGGCAATTCGTCATGATGTTACTCATCCTGGAACCAAACATGTCAAATTCATTTTGGGTGGTAACGATGCAGGTAGATATCCAGGATTCAATGGTATTTTCACTTAAGTCACATTCAGTGCTGCACCTGGAGCTTTCATTGATTCTCCTGACAAATTAAAACCACATTTGGATAAGATTGGAACACCAAATTCAGTGATTAGTGAATTGACTAATACAGTTCTTGTGGACTCTTAAATTGCTAGAGACAAAGGAACAGATCCTATTGAAAAGACAGTTGGAAGTGAGACCACAAGATTCCCACATGAATATGCAATCAGTGGTTGGTTCAAATGGACACCTACTGCACAAGAAGCTTGGCATAATGTTTTCAGAGTCACTCTCAAAACACCTTCAACAGATGCTTTCTTGGGAGATAGAACCTTAACCTGTTGGGTTGGTACACCAGAAGGAGGTATTTTACACTTGCCAACCTATACTTATGCAAATATGAATGGAGCTGGAAATACAAACCTTTGGAAGAACATCCCACACAAAGAAAGACACACTAAGTGGTTCTTCTTGTATTTCGGATACACAAAGTTACAATAGAAGGCTTACTCCTATGTTAAGTGGACTGATGGAGAAGACAGTTTGAAGTATGACAATGTTAACCATTACTTGGCACCTCAATTCTTTGTATTTGTTGGTAGAGATAAGCACTTCCCAGGATTCAGTGGTAAATTGGCTTACGTCAACTTTAATGTTGGAGCAGGATCATTCAGAGGAGAGAACGACTTCAAGCATCCTAAAGATGTATTTGGCTTTGAAATTGGATAGAGCAAATTATTGGACTCAAAGAAAGGGGACTTCAATCCAAGGGAATTACAAAAGGGTACAAATCTAGAGAATGCCTTTGAAAATGATAAGCCAACAATTGAAAAAGACGAATAATCAGGAGAGTTGCCATTTGAAGAGTATGGTTATGGATTCTGGATGAGATTCTTGACTACCTATCCAAAGAGATTAATAAGTGGAAAGAATGCTCCTTGGTACTTCTTGTCAAGATTGACATACAATGAGAAATATTAAGATATTGCTATGGGAGACAGAACATTAGCCATTTGGTAAGGATAAGGATTCTATCATTTCACAACTTGCAGTGTTGCACCTGCTAATGTCAATTTGATTCAGAACGTCAACTTCCCAGAAGACATTGAAGGATTGTGGACATACGTTTATTACTCATACAGTGCTGATGAAAATAAGGCTGTTGCATTTATCAAGTATGGTGATGCAGATGTTCAATCGATCACTCACAAGACTACACATCCAGCTGTGAAATTCTTGAAATTCATCTTAGGAGGAAATGACAACAAGAGATATCCAGGATTTAATGGTTAATTCAGAACAGTGACATTCTCAACACAATCTGGTGCCTATGTTGATAAGATGGATACAATCAATGATTATGTGAGAACAAATCCAAGTCCATCAACATTAATTCCATTATAATCAAATCAAATCATCAAGGATCCAGTCTCAAGATAAGCTGGAGATGACTTAGTACAGAAAAGATTTGGTGGTGACGATAACAAATTCCCATTAGAATATTCATATAGTGGATGGTATAAATGGATAGATGGACCTAATCTTAATGCTTGGTATAACTTGTTCAGAGTAACAATCAAAGATCCATCAACAGATTAATTCTTAGGAGACAGAACATTGTCAGGATGGATTGGATTTGGTAACTTGCATGTGCCAACCTACACTTATGCTAACATGAATGGTGCTGGTAATGTTAATCATTGGAAGAACATCGAACACAAGAACAGAATCTTCAAGTGGTTCTTTGTATACTTTGGATATTCAAAGAAAGACTAATTGGCATATGCATGGGCTCAATGGTCGACAGGAGAGAAGGATTCTTAATCATGGGAGAAATGCAATCATTATTTGACTCCAGAATTCTTCGTGTATGTTGGAAGAGATAAGCATTTCTAAGGTTTGAATGGTCAATTGGGAGCAATCAATTTCAATTTGGGACAAGGATCATTCAGAAAGGGAAATGATTTCACTCACGATGAAGATATTTTCGGATACAATGCAGCATTCACAAAGAAATAACAAGCCTAATTCGATTTGGATAGCAGAGTTGCTAAGGTGTTGACATCTAGTGTTGATTAGAAGGATCCAACATTCACAAAGAATTTCAATGGTGATGAAGTAGACAATGTTAGTGAATATGGTTATGGATTTTGGTTGAGACACTTGAACATGTACCCAATTCCAACGAATAGAGGTGTTTAAGTTGATTGGACATTTGTGGCTAGATTGAGTAAGAATGAGAAATTGGCAGATATTGGTTTGGGTGATAGAGTGTTGGCAATTTGGTAAGGAAGAGGATACTATCACTTCACTACATACAATGGTGGAAATCCAAATAACATTAACAATGTCAATTTCCCATAATTATTGGATGGTCTGTGGACATTCATCTACTATTCTCACAATTTGGATAAGAAACAATCAATTTCATTTGTCAAATTTGGAGATGCTGACATTATCAAGAATGTTATTGCAGCTGAACACTTACCACCCTTGTTATTGAAATTCTATTTAGGAGGACAAAACTTGGTTTACAAAGGATTTAATGGTCAATTCTCAGATGTGATTGTGTCAGCTAACAAAGGTGTTTTCGTTGAGAATATCGATGATATTAAGGCATTATTAGAGAAAGTAAAATAACCAGCTACCTATGTTCTTGATGTCAAGACTAAAAAGGTCATTGAAAAGGAAGCCATATTTAATGACAAGACAGAATAGAAGGAAATTGTTTATGATGATTTGGCTTTGGCTCCAGAATACTCTTGGAGTGGTTGGTTCAAATGGACATTCATTCCAAATCAATAAGCATGGCATCTAGGTGTTCGTTTGAGTATTTTGTAAGCAAGTGAAAATCTGTCATTCTTGGGTGATAGATCATTGTGTATGTGGGTTGGATAACCAGAAGGAGGTATCTTACACTTTGCTACTTACAACTACTAGAACATTTATGGAGGTGGTAATGTTAATTCATGGTAGAATGTCAAACATAACGATGATCATGCAAGATGGCATTTTGTTTATTTCGGATACTCCAGAAATTCAAGATAGGCTTATGCAAGAGTTGAATTTAGAGGAAGAGTAGAAGAAAGACCATACAAAGATCACAATCATTTCATTGCTAATGCCTATTCATTCTATGTTGCTAAAGATAAATGGCATGCTGCATATAGTGGTGTCATTTCAACTTTGAGATTCAATGTTGGTGATGGTGTATTCAGAACTGCTGAATATGAGAAGGCTACAGATGACATTCATGGATATGATTCAGGAAGAGCATTGTACTTCAAGGCACTACCAAAAGTAGATTTAGAGAAAGATTTGAGAAAGGGTGGTTTGGATTCACCACAAAATGGCAAGGAACCATTGATCACAAGAAAATTGTCAGGAGCAGAACTTGAAGACAATGTTGAATTTGGTTATGGTTTCTGGTTGAGATTCCTTACTCAATATCCAATTGCTTTGAAACAAGGATTGTAACCACCCTGGTCATTTATTGCCAGAGTCACTAGAAATCAAGATTTGGGAGATGCCAGATTGGGAGATAGATTATTGGCTAATTGGTTCAATAGTGCCAACTATTATCACTATTGCACTAATGATGGAGGAAATGTTAATTCAGTTCAAAATATCCAAACTGGTTAAGATATAGAAGGTGTCTGGACATACTTGTTCTTTGCACATAGTGATAATGTCGATTAATCAGTTGGTTTCTTGAAGATTGGAGATAAATTGTAGAAGATTGTAACCTAATCCGTGATTCCAGTTCCACAATTCTTACAATTCTACTTAGCAGGATCATAACTCAATTATCCAGCATTTAATGGTCAATTTGCTCATGTAGTATTCTCTGCTGGAGAAGGAATTTTCAAGAAGGATGAGGCCCAATTCAATGCATGGTTAGAGTAGTTTGAAAAACCTGCATAATTCAATACCAATTTGGTTACTAAGCATGTAATTGATGATCCAAAGGAATTCAAATAAGATACCCCATCAGATGAGATTGTATATGAAGACTTAGCTCTTGTTGGAGAGTATTCTTGGTCAGGATGGTTCAAATGGACTCCAACAGTGTAATAACCATGGCATTTGATGGTCAGATTCTCAATCCACTAGGCTTCAGAAAACATATAATTCTTGGGAGATAGAACACTCAATGCTTGGGTCGGATAAGGATATTTCCATTTCACAGCATACACTTATGTTAATCTTAATGGAGGTGGAAATGTAAATCAGTGGTAGAATATCAATTATGAGACAGATCATACAAAATGGCATTTCATCTACTTTGGATATTCAAAGGTTCAATAATTGGCCTAAGCTAAAGTTGAATTCAAGAATAGAGTTGCAGAATTAACCTACAAAAATACAAATCATTATTTACCAAATAAGATTTCAGTTTATGTTGCAAGAGACAAGTGGCATGCAGTCTACAGTGGTAATATCGGTCATTTAAGAGTCAATGGAGGAAATGGTGCATTCAATCCAACAGGTTATGGTGAGGCTAAAGATGATGTCTTCGGATATTAGATTGGAAAGGATGCATTTACAGAGAAAGAAGCACCAGTAGATGCATTGAGAGAGTAAGAAATATTAGATTCTGCATTTAATCAAGAGAAGCCAGTCCTTTAAAAAGAATTCAAGGGTGACGACTTAGCAGGAGTATCAGAATATGGTTATGGATTCTATTTCAGACATTTGGAATAATATCCAGTTTAAATGAGAGATGGTAGATTGGCACCATATTACATCATGTCAAGATTATCTTGGAATAAGGACGAAGGAGATATCAGAATGGGAGATAGATTATTGGCAGTCTGGTAGGAATAAGCAGCAATATTGTTCATTACCAATGATTTACCAGGAAATCCAAATCTATTGTCTAGAATACCAGTACCAGAAAGAGAAGGAGTTTGGACATTCTTATACTTCAGTTATTCATTGGAAGATTAATTGGCTGTTGGTATATTGAAGTTTGATGGTATTGATGAAGTATTCCACACTTCAATGAAATGTAACCATGGTAAAAGAAGTTATTTGAGATTCACTTTGGGATCTGCACCTCCTCATTTCTATCCAAGATTTAATGGTCAAATTGCCAACTATGCTATCAAATTCGGCAAAACTGGATTTGTTAGAAATTATGATGCCTTAAAGAAATATTTGGATAACAGAATACCACACCCAGGATAGGAAGATAAAGCATTGAAGACATTGAAACATTTAGAAGAAGAGAAGAACTATAAGGGAGATAGTCAAGAAGAGCTTGTAGTTGAAGTTCCCAATGATTTGACTAAGTTTGCAACTGAATATTCAGTGTCAGGATGGTTGAGATGGGATCAACCACCTATTGGAGCACCTTGGTTCAATGTATTCAGATTGAGTTTATACTCTACAGAAACAAATGCTGAAGGAAGATTTGGTGACAGAGACTTATCCTTGTTCAAACATGCTACTTACTATCATTTCTAAACCTATAATTATCAACCAGGATTGCCATGGATTTATGGATTCGATATCCCACATGAAGACTAACATACTCAATGGCATTTCTTCTATACTGGTTACTCAAGAGAAAAGAGACAAATCTATTATTTTATTTCATTCTTAGAAGCAGAGGCTGACAAATTATTTGAAAAGCAAACACATCTTGTTGTCAACAAACACTACTTCTCATATGGTAAAGACTTCAAGAAGTTCTATGCAAGTCACAGAGGAGTTACTGGTATTAGTAATCTTGTCAACATCAATTATGGTAATGGAGCATATACAACTAAGCCATTCTTAATCAAAGATGGAGAGGACAAACCTGATGCATTTAATTTCAACAAAGGAAGAGACCTCTATACTCCTAAATTCCCAATGAAAGAATTCACTTCTGACAAGACTAAACTATTGGAATGCATCTTTGATAAGGCTGAACCAAATGTTCTCTTGAAGATCGAAGATTCCAAAGATGTGCCCACTAGAGGATTATAAGAATATGGATGGTCCACTTGGTTAAGATGGTCTAGAACTGGACCTAAATCTATGCCTTGGAGAATCGTTTGGCATAACATTGCTAGATTGACAAGTAAAAGAAACCATGGAGATTTAACACAACAAGGAGATAGATTATTGGCTGCATGGTTGTTCACCAACTCATATTACTTCTCTCATTCACCAAAAGGAGTTGGAGAATAAGTTCAACATATCCCATGGAAGATCATTGATGGAGAATGGAACTTCATTTCCATCTCATATAAGAAAGGGGAAGTTAAGGCTTATGTCTTCTAGAAGGGAGAAATCTCAGATTTCACATGGAAAGCTAAACATGACTTAGTTGGAGACTATTTAGAATTCATCTCAGGAAAAGAATTTGGATACAACTTCTTCAATGGATATATGTGGGGATTGTCATTGAAATTAGGTGATGGAGCTCACTTCGCTGATTAAGATGCTGTCAAGGCTTATGTCACTGGAGCAATGAAATTACCAGACGAATTCAAATTTGATTAGACGAGAAAGACTCTTCCAATCAAGAAGGAGAAGGCTAAGATTGAGGCCACAGCTGAACCAGAAATTATCAAAATCGAACCAAAGGATGCTAATGGAAAAGTTGAGTATGCAATCTCAGGATGGGCTAAATGGACTGATATTCCAAATATTGGACCATGGCATCTTGTCTACAGAGTCACTTGTTGGGATAAAGATCTTGTCGGCAACATGGATAAGCCAGGAGATAGAACTATGTCTATGTGGAAGGGATTAGGATTCTACCATCAGACTGTATACACTGTTGATTAAGTCAATGGTGGTGCTTGGTCTATCCCTCAAAACATCGATTACAAGGGTACCTTACATAAGACTTGGGTGTTTATCTATTAAGGTTATTCAAGAGAAAAGTAAAAGGCTCACGGATTCATCAAGTTCCCAGATTCAGAAGAACACAGAGATTTCCCTAACATTAATTAATTCGTGCCCACTTACTTCACTGTCTTATGGCATAAGGATTAATGGCATCCAGGATTCAGTGGATAAATGGAAAATTGGTACTTCAATGTAGGAACAGGATCTTACAGAGAGACAGGTTATGATGATGGCGAAACTGAACTATTGACATTCGGATTCGGAGGAAGAACTGTTGCTGAATTGAAACCATGGAAGGCTGATGATATCTTTGATTAAGCTTGGGGACCAGATTAGAAGGTTGGAAAGGAAGTCGAAATGACTGATGACTCTATCAATGGAGTTACTGAATATGGTTATGGATTCTGGTCAAGATTCCTATGGAATGGACCAAGTAAATTAGTTGATAAACCTGCTTGGATGGCGTTGTCTAGATTCACAATCAACCAAAACTACTAAGGAGATGCTGCATAATAAGGAGATAGAACTCTTGCCATTTGGGTTGGTCAACCATTCTATCATTTCACTACCTACACTCCAGGAAACAATAATGTTGTTTAGAATATTCAATATGGATAAATGTTGGATGGATAATGGAATTATATTTGGTATGGATACAAGAGATTTGATAAGACTGGTAAGGTGTAAGGACACATAGTGTTTAATGGTGACTAAGTCAGATCAACTCAATTCCCAGTTGTTACTCACTAGATCCAATTACTGATTATGCTTACTTTGCAGTTGGATCATCAGGTACCAAATTGCTTAAGAATTATCATGCTTTCAATGGACAATTAGGAGCAGTCAGTTTGATACTTGGAAATGGTGGATACATTGAATCAGCTGATGATTTGAAGAAGAGTATGCCAGGAATACCCAAAGTTCCAGAATTGAATTCAATTAAGAAGACAGTTTTCGAAGACATTCAAACAATGAAGAGAGAAGAAGCCACCATGAAACCTTATGAATATGCAGATGAATTTGCAGGACAATAAGAATATGCTGTCTCATTATGGTTCAGATGGAGTACCATCGGAAGAGTTGCTTGGGAGAATGTCTACACATTGTCATATCATGATTAAGCATCAAGAGCAAACCATGTCAGACCAGGAGACAGAGTGTTGTCAGTGTTCCAATATGTTGATCACAGAATCTTCTTCAGTACTTACACTACTCCTGAAAATCACGATGCCTTTGCTTAAATCTTCACTGAAGCCCCAGTACCAACTCTTGATCAAACTGCTTGGGTTTATGTTTATTATGCATACAGCAGAAAGGCATAATCAGTGGTGCATTTCATGAAGACAAGAACTACAGAAAATGAGAAGAAATTAGGATGCATGCACAGAGTTCCTAAATATTTAGGATTATGGGCTGGTAAAGATGGTATTCACACACCTTACAATGGTAAATATGCCCATATGTACCTATATGCTGGACCAGGATCATACAGAGAGAAGGATTACTTATCATATGAACCATATATTGCTGGTGCTCTTGGAATTCAAGCTAAACCATGGAAATGGAATGAGAAGAAGGACCAATTTGATATTGCTGATAAATAAGAAATTGTTCTAGATGCCAATGCAATTGATGGACATTCAGCATATGCTATCGGAGTTTGGTTGAGATACTTGACTGCAATTCCAAAGAGAATTTTGGAGAAATAAGCAAGAATGTCAGTTTATAGATTCACTTAGAATTAATAATTGGAAGATAGTGCCAAAGTAGGAGATAGAACCTTAGGATTGTGGTTGACTGCTGGACAATATGGATTCAGAACATACAATTTGGCTAACAACAATCCAAATCTATCCCAAGATATTAATTATGATGATAAGTTGGAAGGAGAATGGAACTTTGTATAC